AAGCACACGATCAACCATCTTCTCAAAGACCGGATGGCCTGGCGCCGCCGCAATAGTCCATTGACAGAACTGGAGCCAGTGTGGTATGTCGGCCCACTCGCCACCGTCAAGGCGGTCAAATTCGATCCCTACAATTAGACGAGCCTTGTCTTGGTACTGTACAGGCACCCATGAATTAATGGGCCTTAGTGCGACCGTGTCGGTGTCTGTGTATACACCCCCTTCAACATCGAGAATGAGGTAACGGAGAAGATCGGACTTCATTCCAACATTCGGAATAGCCTTATACGCCTCAATCACTTCCGGTCTGTGGGCAAAATGTCTTTCAACGAAATCTTGGGCACCCTTCTGGCCCACAAGTGTGCTGTAAGCTCAAGATTAGCTGGTTGTATTTCGCTAAATCTGTGTACTTTTTAGTACACTGCTAGTAGTAGGTAATCCTTTCGACTGAGGGGAGAGAGGGACGCCGTGATTAATTTACCCTGAAGATACTTACTATGCATAATCAGTGTTCAGGGTCAGCCACGAAGCAGTGCTTTCAATGGCCTCGGGCTGTGGCACATCGTCGAGCTTCTTCGGCAGTATTATCTGCCAGATTTTGGGGGCGATAAGTTGGCTGTTGTTGACAAAAGAATGCTGTTTCGCCCATTTAGATTCTGTTTCACCACTGTCCAAGCATGTCTGCGATATCTTGTTCGTGTAGAAGACCGTAGGAAAATCGTCGTAAGCCCCAATATCACTGTGCGACCATATTGTCACGAGCAACAAGAGGGCGAAGACAGTCGTGAGGTAAAATCGGTACCGGCGCCAAGTCAAGTGATAGAGTTTTTGCGCCCTTAGAGATGACCTTACTAATTCTGACAGGTACATGGGTGTGAGAGGTCTTGCAAGCACCCTGACTCGCGAAGCCTGGACAGAAAAGAAAAGCTGTCAACGAAAAGGCTGTGATCTAGCATCGAAGCGCATTGATGGGCATCTTTGAGGAGGAAAAGAGTGAAGAAAATGAGCCAAAATACAGCGCATTTCTCTTGAGCCCCCTATTGCAAAACCCAAAGGAGCATCAGGACCATTTATGGCCGCCCAAGGTTCCATGGTGGCAGGCGCCAAGCCTCCATCAGCACACAGCAGCTCGTGCCGCTGCATAATAATTCTAGATTCGTGCCAATAATCAGGCAAGCGACGCCCGATTTGGCATTGCGATAATTAAGCGCTCAGCCCAGCCCGGGCCTGGAGACGCCACCGGGGTCCTTACTACCGAACTTTCCAGCTTAGGAAGGTCTAGTCAAGTATACCATAGACCACTAGCGGAGCATAACCATGTGGTTCAGCTGCAACTTGTTAGCATAATCTGTTCCTGTTCATCACTGACGTTGACGCCATCTCTGAGTCGAGGTTTGAATTCGGGAGAGAAGCGGTTGGCTGTTAATCTAATATGCACGGTTTCCCCGGTTTGCTTATCTGGGAGCGGACAAGGTTTTCCAGATGCCCCTGGTAATACCACCAATTAGCATCAAACCCGTACATTGAAGTCCCCAGGGAGTACCCTGTAATTAGCCTGTCAGAAATAACACTAACCACTAACAGCATTTACGATCGAGCGCTGATTAGTCCGAGCATGCACTGACCAGCGGCGATCCGGCCCACGGCAGGAAGAAAGCCATCATTTATGCTTCTTGTTCACAAGTCAATAGTCTTGAGACTTGCTCAAAGGCAGTTGAAGCCTCAATTAGGATCTTCAATTAAAGTAATCAAGCCCAGGCGATAGTGAATGGGAGTACGGCAACTTGTTCATGTCAAAGGATACCAAATTGTTCAAAAGGCTATTACCGATGGAGGCCCAAAATGCTACCTGGCCCAGACAGCCTGCAGACCGTTAGACATTCTCGGGTCATCTCCGCACACCACCACCACAAGCCCCATTCTGCAGTGGTCCTATTATTAGGGTTTCTATTCTTCTTGTGAACAAGAAACAATGTCTCGAATGATTAGCAGATTACTCCACCACGTTTGGTATCCGCTGCAGTTCTGCTTCTTCCACTGGTTGCTGATTCTTTTCATGCTTGACACTCCTCCATTCCATGCCTATCCCTTCAAGTACTGTGATGGGAGCTAGCATGACAAATTCTAGAAAACAATGCGAGCCGCATTGTATGCCTTTAAGACGGCCCGCACCACTTCTGACCATACTTCTCTGTTATGACAGGCTGCCAGCCCGGAAACGCCATTTCCCAGAACTACTGCGGGATCGACTTTCGGAGCCTTGGTAGCGAGCCGCATCTTTAATCCGGCCTGGAAGAGATTCTGCCCTCCCGCGAGAAAGATTGTGCTACTGATTGTGTGGGCTAAGACAATGACTGATTTACTAAGGGAGATGTCGATACCTTCAAGGGCTGCCTGTGCAGCCATTCTATATGGAACTTGGTCACTGCCTTTCAAGAGCTTTATTCATCTTGACTAACTTTCAGTACAGATTGCCGAACCTTTTTGGCAGGAATTCCAGCTATTGAGTACACAAATTGTTTTGATGAGTGCTGCGAGATGCTATTGAATGCACGAGAATACCAAACTGACCATCTCCTTGTTCAAATTGTGCGGATTGAGCAACTGAGCAACAAAGCACGCAAACTGCTTCTCGACGTGGGTCAGAATCAGATTACAAACAATATGCATGCCATGACGGTTGCTTTGATCTGCAGAGACCTAGAGGAGCTCATCAGTCATCTGCCGCATCATGTGAAGACGGATCTGAGGTCATGGCGCCACATATCTGGTATTCCGCTAATGTCGAAAGATCTTCTCTTAAGTCACTACTAGAAAGTCCTTATTCAGTATGCGAGCCGGCGGACAACTTACTTATGAAATAGATCAGATAACTTCTAGGCCTCGTCGAATGTGGACTTGCTTAGAGCATTGCTCGATTATTCTACGAACATTTCTTCCTTATATCGCCACATATACTTTCAACAATCCCTTTTGCCTTGTTGACACATATCAGCACTGCGAACACTATAACCGCGCGGCTGCTCATGCTGGATGGACCAGATTGGGATTCCTCCACGGCGAGGCAGCTGAGAATTTACCTGATATCCTGCACCGTATGCAGGCCCTGCTTCGGGCTGGTGATGATGTAGCGGGTAGCGATACCGGCTCACAGAGGATGGGCGTGGCTTGCTTGCCGAATATACAGATAAGTGTGGCTGGATAGCAGATTGGTATTTGTCCAAACTTCCCAGTAAACTTCCCATCTCGGGAGAAACGGGAATAGTACCACTTGTACCCCAGGTCTCGATATGCCCAATCTCAGCAAATTTTGTTTAGCTCAGGCTTAGAAGGCAATATTTGAATGTAAAGGCCACGGAGTTGATACTAATACAATACCATATGACCATGTAGCACTGGAAACTTTACTGAATATGGCTAGACATGTGGCAAGCACCCTGCCAGTACCATAGCCAATACCGCAAAGACATCTACGGCACATCACGAAGAAACAATGTACAAGAGCAAGGTTCACGCGACATTGAATCTGCCCAAACAGGTTCGGCAACCTGGAACACGTGTCATTGGGCCGAATTATGGGCAAAAGAGGGTGGCAGTTTCGTAGTTTGACACATGCGAGCGGGCGGCGTGGAATCTTGGCCTGCTTAAAGACTAAGCGGTGGCAGATTGTGCCATCATATCTCCACTTCGTTCGTTGCATCTTTCACGTAGAGTAGCAAGGCCGGCTTGCGCCAGTACATGATTAGGACAGACTAACTGTGGCCTTAATATCTGCCAAAAGGCAGGCACGGAGCGGTGACAGTATAGTCGCAATGACAAGTCCGGCATGTCATTTGTCATGTATTTCAGGTTTTGATAGCGAACTCTGAGCAAGATAGTAAGCCTTGACAGGATGTGCAATGCTCGTAACCTATTCCTAGTCAGGAAGATCAAGTCCGCGCACAAGATAGTCATTCGCGATCTGGTAACCGTTTTCATTTGAACAAAGAGAACTCCGACAATCCCGGGTGAATTAACGAGACCAATTTTCTTCTGGTGAGGAGAGCCAGTGGGCAGCTTATCTATGTGTGAAGGATAATGGGGCTCTGCCAAGACAAATCGCGCCCCCAACAAGGGAGGTGAATGCAAGAAGGATTAAGCTATTGTGTCAAACGCTATAATTAGAGGGAGGTCCCTGCGTACACTCTTAACCAACCGGTTAATGACCGAGATAGTGCGACGATCGTCATTGCGATGGCCTATCACGGGTCCTGGAAAGCACTCCAGGGTGTCATTCGAGTCTCCGCAAGAGAGCAAGGCTGACCCATACTTGCGGGGATAGCAATCATCTGGGCCTACGGTCTTCCGAGCTCATAGCGGTCAAGTAACATGATCCTTACATTGATGGGAATTTATGGCGCAATGGTAACCCTAAAATGACCTCAATTTTGTTAGCCCGCATTCGCCCAGAAATGTAGCCTTGCGGCCTTGTCCGCGAAAAGGGGCTCACACGCTTTGACACAAACAGAAGCACCATTTTCCGTTCCCCGCTCAATGTCCTTTTATCGTGGAGGAGGTCTCCGTTGATTCAACCTTTTCAGTGCATGGACTAGCCCTCAGATAAGCATACTGGGATTGCTTGACATGCTTCGCCTGTCAGCCACGTCCAGACTGTCGGGCTCTCGAATGGGCAGGTGACCTAATGAGCCTTAGCCCATGGAACACAATCAAAGATTTCGGCCGCTGCTTGACCTCGGCCGAACTACAATTTTGCGATACCCCATTGCATTTTGCCTGGCAAGCCTGTCGACGGTGTCTCTTGGCAATCGTAAAAGACCTTCGACATGCCAAATCCGGTATCCTTCTTTATCCCTCTCAAATCCAACTCCGGCTGTTTGTTGCCGACAACAGCGTGATCGAACTTGAAATTTGAGATATTAGGGCTGCCGCTGTCCCAACACTTATTGCAATGGTTTTATGAGCACTACCAGCAAGGAACAGCACCTGCTTCATTTTCCAGAATGAGGCTGTCCTACACCCTACTCGCATTGTCAACAATTGGATGCGGGTTTGCTCTCCGTCATCGCCGGGATAATGACAACGCACAAGTGTCCAATGGCACCGATGCTGTCCCGAAGCGTTTCATCGTTGAGCTCGAGAAGGTGTGTTGTTTGTGCATTGTTCTCCGGATTTGAGAGTGTTGCATACTAATCGATTGCTACCATTTACAGGGTGCAAGTGTCGATGCTCTCCAAAAGGAGATAGCCTCCCGAAAAGGAGCAAAAGTCCTTAAAGTGTTCAATTCCGATGTCTTCAAAGGAATAAGTGTCGAAGCTGAGGAGGACAACATCGACACTCTTCAGTCAATACAAGCCGTATCGAAGGCTTGGTCATCCAACAAGATTAGGCTTGCACCACACATTCCAGCACAATCGTTCAGCGACGATGCGAGTGCCTCCATTTACACCGTTCACAACTGGACTGGCGTGGACAGACTCCATGCGGCGGGTATCAAGGGCAAAGGCGCTGTCGTTGCTGTTGTCGATACTGGAATTTGGTATCCTCATTCTGATGTTCGTCGATGACCCCAAGAACTTGGCAGACATAGAACGTTGACAGAAAGCATAGCTGGGTGGAGGGTTTGGACCTGGTTTCAAGGTCGCAGGCGGATGTGATCTAGTTGGACAGGGATGTGAGTGTTTTCCATCACTATCATTTACTACTCGCAGCTCATGTCCCTCTAGCATGGCCTTTCGAAGGCTCCAAAGAGCCGGATGAGGACCCGCTTGACCAGATTGGTCACGGTACTCATGTGGCAGGTATTGTTGCTGCCAACGGTGATCAGTATTGAAACAGGGCAGCAGT